ACTGATGCAGACAACTGTTTGAGAACCTTTCATGAAAAGTTTGCTGCAAACAAGGCGGACCCGGATCTGTGCTCGTGAGTTAAATCTTTGATTGCATCTATCGTATCCCTAAGCTATTGGCAACCATCGCTCTAAATTTAGTGCTTCTTGATGTAGTTAATAACCCCACCCCCCTCTCTTTCTCTCTCCTTCTCTCCCCCCTCCACACACACATACACACACCCTTCTACTTTGTTCCGCCTCTACTTCAATCTTAATAATTGGACATTGTGATTGCCCTTTTTCAATTTCAACAGGGAAAATGCCAAAGCAAAGAAGTGCATGAAGAATCTGATAGCGTCGGCTTGTACCTTACCGTCTACTGTACAAGAAATGTTAGATTTGGCCTTCAGTGACTACAATCCTTTCTGCAAGGACAATCGAGACCCGGGGGCGATTGGTAATGACCAGTGTTACGGTTACAGCGGCAGTCCTGCAACCGCTGTGATGAATATGGGCGTTGCAAAGGCTCTGCTGTTTTATTTCCTGTTTCTGTTTTTCTTTGTTTAGATCTTAAATAGAAGAGCAGTGTTTAGTTTTCCAGATATGCTTTTTTTGCGACCGTCTAAGTGTATTCTTAAACAGAGTAGATAATGTTTAATAATGTAAAAACAACTAACTGTTTTGCGTTTAAAAAATAAATTTGGATCCAGTCTTTCCAACTTGCCAAATCCCATCGTTTCATTTGGGCCGCGTTTCCGATTCCCTTATTCAACCTTGCATCACTTGAACTGTACAATTAAAGCAAATAAAATTAAAGCTTTAGTCCAGCCAAAAATAAGTAACCACAAACCTGTGATTGCGTTGGGGCGATATCAACCGTCTGTCTAGCGAAACTAAGATGATGCCCAACAAGGAAATCATTAAATGATATGGAACAAAAACTCACTCTCTCCTTACTCTCCTCTCCGAAAATTAGCGACGTTTCCTAAAAATTATCTGGGAACATTTTAGAGTTGTCATGACGTGTAGCTCAACATTGACGTTACCATGGCAACCGGGTTTTGACAGCCATTTTTTATTATTAATTATTGTAATTATTATTTTGCACTTTTCCTATAAAATAACGTTTCTTTTCTATTTTAACTTATTGAATCATTATGTTACACTCAATTTAGAATTATTTTCTCAAATTTATGGTAAATATGTAATGTAATACAGGCTTTCTAGTGACTTAAATTTAACAAGAAAAAAAACGTGAATTTATAACAACCAAATGGCAGCCGCCAGGTTAAGTTTTCAGCAGTGTTCATCTCTCTCGGAATTTTGTAACTTGTGGATTATTTTGCGTCCTAAGCATTTTTCTATACACAGATAAAATTATTTCTATGACGACTACCTCGTTTAAAACGGTTTTTAGGAACAATACAGTAAGTAGTTCAAAATGGCGGATCCAAGATGGCGGAGGGTTCCAGTTCCCTATAGAGTGTTTTCACATGACGTCACGGCGGCCATATTGGTGTCCCAAAACAATGAAACGGCGGCCATGTTGGTGTCCCAAACCAGTCCTGTGGGAGTTGAGTTGCTTTCTTATGCAAACGCTTTCTTTTGTTCCAATAAATTTGCATAGATGCTGGCCACGTGAGTGAAAACACTCTATTTACGTAATATAAAACGTTATTATGACATAACTGCTATTTTTGAAGGTCATTAATGTGTTAGCTAACTTCGTGATATTATTTTATCAGACACCTTAATTTATCAAGGGTTTTTTCGCTTTTTGCTTTTTGCTGGATATTGCCAATCAATTCAACAATATAACGTCCCAATGACGTTACAAACAAATTATGCCTAGATGTTGGAAAAGATGAGAACATTACTCTTTTGAAGTTATAGACGGGGGACTCTGAACCCCTACTCTCCCCCTGGTCCAGGAAGCCAATAAATAGGGTCAAATGCCCTTCATAAACAAGTTTGAAAGAACAGATTTTTAAAAAACGTAGGAGTTCTTGCCTACTGGCGCAGAAATTGTCAAAGAATTGATGAACTCGCCCGATTATACTGTGAGAGTATTACAAATACCATTTCTCCCTTTCAAGGAAATCCAGATTTATATTACAACATTTCAACATCAGTTACAATAATACAATATTACGAGTTAGTAAACATTGAATCGTTGAATAATGCAATTCTAGAGCTCTGATTGGCTAAGCCATCATGGTGTATGAGCCATTATACCATGCTTTCCAAATATGGTAACTGTACGCGTCTGCCCAAAATTAAAAACAAGCTGAAAATCGGTTGTTCTTACAAATAACGTTTGGAAGAATTCTCGATATTTTGTGGGCGTTTTTAATAAAACAATTATGCCACTCGCTTTTGTTGGATATGAGATGATTATAGCCAAATCCTATCCATCGCGTTCTCGTGGAATAATTGTTAAAATTTAATATACAATGTCGAGATATTATAATATCGAGATATAAGGCGAAGCTTGTGCAACCCTGCCGTTCCCAGGACA